AATCTGAGATCTTCTGATTATTATACTGAGCCATGCTTGAGTGAGTTGGCTGTTAGGGAATCGATGAATCCTGGTTACTGCAGCAAGGTCCAAGACTTTGTTGTTGGGAGGGTTGGTTATGGATGTGTCAAGTTTATTGGGGAGACGGATGTTAGATGCTTGGATTTGGACAGCATTGTTAAGTTCAATAGATGTGAAGTAGTCGTATATGAGGATGACCATTCCAAACCCTTGGTCGGTCAGGGTCTTAACAAGCCAGCTGAAGTAACATTAATACTTAAAGCAGAATCTCCAAATAATTTGACCGACGATCGGTTAAAAGAAGTTGTGGATAAATTGAAGTGCAAGACTGAGAGGCAGGGGGCCAAATTTATTTCCTTCGATCCAGTTCATGGTGAATGGAAATTTTTAGTACAGCATTTTAGCAGATTTGGTCTGAGTGAGGAAGACGAAGAGGATATTCCAATGGATGATGTAACTCCAGAGGCTCAAGATGCTATAGACATGAATGATAGTGAGGTGTCAGATATTGATGGTCAAATCGTTCCCATAAACACTCCACTTTCACATTCACTCCCTGCTCATCTTGGTCTCAATCCAGCCAGGATGAAAGATTTGAGGATGTTGCTGTTTTCTGGAGAGGTGGATGAGGTAGAAGATGTCAGTAGCATGGTTTCACATGATAAGGATCATTTTTCAAAAGAAACATCAAGGTCTCCATTGAATCACTCGTCTAGGAAAGCTGTTCATAAGACAAGTGCACGTCTCACTCGCAGGACTCCACTAGCTTTAAAAGAGTACAATCCTGGGAGTTTCAGCTCTAGCTCGCCAGGAGCTATTTTGATGGCTCAGCAGAATAGAGGTCTCCAGCTGAAAGCAGCGAAAACTGAAGGTTTTGAGCTGGAGCTCAAGAGCGACACACCAGTAACTGGCAGTCATTCTCGTAATATAGTTGATGCCGCATTGTTCATGGGTAGATCTTTTCGAGTAGGCTGGGGCCCTAATGGAGTCCTTGTTCATTCTGGGACGCCCGTTGGAAGCAATCAGACTAGAACTGTATTGTCCTCTGTGATTCATCTTGAAAAGGTCGCAATAGACAACGTGACGAGAGATGAGAGCAATAAAGTCATGGAGGAACTTACCGATTTCTGTTTCAGTTCACCCCTCATTCTTCACAAGGAATTAAGCCAGGAAACAAAAAGAATTGAGCTTGGGACCTTTGAGCTGAAACTTCGAAAGCTTGTTTGCGACCGCTTGACGCTTCCGGATATTTGTCGGAGATATATAGACATCATCGAGAGGCAACTCGAGGTTCCCAGTCTGTCTTCTGGTTATCGTGTTTTTCTGATGCACCAAGTACTTATTTGGGAACTAATTAAAGTTCTCTTTTCGTCAAGGAAAATATCTGACAAGTTGAAGGTGTTGGATGATGATGAGGAGGATATGATGGAAAGTTATCCCAATGTTGATGAGGAAGCCCTTCCACTTGTCAGGAGAGCGGAATTCAGTTATTGGCTGCAAGAGAGTGTTCACCACCGTGTACAAGAGGAAGTTAGTTCCATTGATGAGTTGAATGATTTAGAACATATATTTTTGCTTCTTACTGGCCGGCAGCTTGATGCTGCTGTTGAACTTGCTGCTTCCAGAGGGGACGTGAGACTATCTTGTCTTTTGAGCCAGTCTGGAGGGTCAACAGCAAATCGTGTTGATATTGCCCATCAGCTTGACCTCTGGAGGAAAAATGGGCTTGATTTTAGTTTTATTGAGGAGGATAGGGTGAGGCTATTTGAATTACTTGCTGGAAACATACATGAAGCCTTGCGTAGTGTGAAAATCGACTGGAAGAGGTTTCTAGGACTGTTGATGTGGTATCATCTTCCACCTGATGTTTCATTACCTGTTATTTTTAATACCTATCAGAAGCTCCTTAATGAAGGAAATGCTCCATATCCCGATCCAGTTTACATTGACGAAGGACCAATAGAAGGTATGAGCAATTCGGTTGTTAATGACCGTTTTGACCTGGCATATTATCTTATGCTTCTCCACGCAAGACAAGAAAATGATTTTGGTGCTTTGAAGACCATGTTCAGTGCCTTCGCCTCTACAAATGACCCGCTTGACTATCACATGATTTGGCATCAGCGTGCTGTTTTAGAAGCCATTGGCACTTTCAGTTCCAATGATCTTCATGTTCTGGACATGGCATTTGTTTCTCAGTTGCTGTGCCTCGGGCAGTGTCACTGGGCCATCTATGTGGTTCTTCATATGCCTCATCGTGAAGATTATCCCTATTTGCAAACTACAGTTATAAGGGAAATCCTATTGCAGTACTGTGAAGTTTGGAGTACTCAGGATTCACAGTGGGAGATTATTGAGAATCTTGGTATTCCATCAGCATGGTTGCATGAAGCCCTGGTGAGTTTTTTTTCCATAAACCTTAAATTTTTTGCATGCATGCTAATAAGGTTTGTCTTATTATCATCCCTTTACATTCATCTTTTTATGATTCTTTTATCGTCTTTTACTTGTTTAAGATGTGGGAGTGTGGACTTTCCTGAACTTTATTTTGCTTGTTGAAAGTAAATTGCAATACGTTATGGGTGCTTATCATTTTTGCTTACTACTGATAATTTATCTGGTATTCCTGCTCATTGATTTCTCATTATCATTTTTGCTTACTACTGATAATTTATCTGGTATTCCTGCTCATTGATTTCTCATCTTGCCCGTTCTTCCCTTCTTTTCCAAGTGCAGGCAATTTATTACAATTATACTGGTGACTTACCCAAAGCTTTAGAACACTTCCTTGAATGTTCAAACTGGCAAAGGGCGCACACGATCTTCTTGACTTCAGTTGCCCATTCTCTGTTTTTATCAGGTAGAGTACTAATTTACTATTTTGTTTATTGAGTTCTAGTTTCATCAAATTGTTTCTTTAAAGCAAAGTCAGAGCAAATCTACATATTAGATATCCAAAAAGNTTTTTGTAGAAACACCCTTTTATATGTTACAATTTTAATTTGCAGATGACATGACTGATTGTTGATCTTTCCCATCTTATGTATATTTGCTCTATTTCAAACTTTAGGAGTGGATCTGGAAATCTCTTAAGAAATCAGATATGGGCTAGAATCATGTATTCAGCCATGAAAAATTACCTGAGCGAATAAGAATTGAATAATTTACATTTTTTAATTTAAAGTTGAGTGTTTTGTGGATGAAATGGCCATTTCCTCGTTGGTGTGAATGTGGCTATATGAAATAAATTTATGTCTAGCTCCATATGGGGTCTTTTTATCAAGTAGCATTACAATTTTGATTTTCATGTTGCAGCAAAGCATTCAGAGATATGGAGGCTTGCAACATCCATGGAAGATTACAAGTCTGAAATCGAAGACTGGGACCTTGGGGCTGGCATTTATATATCGTTTTACTTGTTACGAAATTCCATTCAGGAAGACAGCAACACCATGACCGAACTGGTAAATTTTTCCAGTTTATAGCTAGAGAAATGTACGCGTCTCAATGTTAAAGTTCTGTTGCATTTTGTTTCTTTTATATGATAATTAGGCTTCAACTGAATGCTCTTCGTTTTGAACATCCATTTCGTACCATATTTGTCATTTGAGAATACGTCAAATTACTTCAGGAGCTAACGGGACTGGTCCTTTAATTATCTTCATTTTGGGATCCTAGTACCCGTTGTCAAACGTCTTGCTTTTATTCATCAAATTTAAGTTAACTAGTAAATTGAGTAAAATGGTAGAATGGATGCTATCAGTTTAGTAGTAGTGGTTAGTTGTTGATTTGGTCTCCTATTTCTAGACTTAGTACTCTTTATGGATTATGGTTAACAAATAGTTCTATAGATTGTTCTTGAAATTCTGAATTATGTAATGGCTATGATCTTTTCTTTGTTAGGGAAACCGACTCTAACGTAATTTGAAATGTGACTGAGAAACATATTAGTGGCCCATATATCTACTTATGTTCATTATAAAAAATTTTGTGACTGAGAAACATATTAGTGGCCCATATATCTATTTATGTTCATTATAAAAAATTTTGTGACTGCGAACACATATTAGTGACCCATATATTTTTTTTTCATGTTCACTAGACAAATTTTGTCGACTTCTTGTAATGGATAATTCTGTTTTTGCAGGAAACTCTTGAGAACAAAAATGCTGCATGTGCGGACTTTATTGGTCACCTAAACAAGTCTCTGGCAGTTTGGGGCAGCAAATTACCACTTGATGCAAGGTATACTTATATATTAAGTATGAGAGAGGCTGCAGATGCACATATCGACTCATATGGAACCACTGTCGACATTTTATGACTCGGTTCATTTCTTGATTAGTTGTTTTCAAGTCCTTTCCATCTATTCTAATATATCTTTATCCACTGTTGTCCCAGAGTTGTGTACTCGAAGATGGCTGAGGAAATCTCGAGTCTGCTTCTTTCTGACAGTGGTGAGGGCTTGAATGGTGATGTTCAGCTGAGGTGTTTTGACACCGTTTTCAAGGCGCCCATGCCTGAAGATATTCGCTCGTACCATTTACAGGATGCCGTTTCACTTTTTGCGTCTTGTCTTTCTGAGATGGCCCAATAGCGTGCCCTTTTTTCTCACTATATTTTCTTTCATGATTAATAAGTTCTGTAATTATTGAGGTGGGGCTCGCAATTGTGTTGTTTCGAAGGATTTTCCTTGATGGGTAAGTTTGAGTGCCCTGTTTGTACACTAGTTTTTCATCCGTCTTTCTCCAAGTCTACATTATAATTTTTTTTTTCAACCCTACATATGATTATTCGAAAGAAATTTTCAAGTCTCGTTTGATGTTTGTATATCATTTTTTGATCCTGCTGCTTTTACATCAGAGGACTTACAATTGCCCATCTTCATTTCACTTCATTAACCAAAAGTGTTTTACGTTGCTGTTATATGCTTTAAAATTGTTTGTACTGGTTTTAACACTGTTCATTGTGAATTTGTGATGGACAATTTCTCCGCAAACAAATTTGTGATGGTCAATTTCTCCGCAAACAAAGGTTTTTCTCGTCTCGTGCTGATGCGAAACATAATAAGAGCCAAAAGTTTTATGGTGATTCGTTGGATTTGCAAAGATTTTTTATTGGTAAGGATGTGGGTCCAGTTGCAGGTGTGCCTTTCGACTTTGACAGCCAGAAGCTTAGAACAAAAGAACACTTGAACTGATATAATAAAGCATTGAAAAATCTAATTAGTGTTGAAAGGGGAAAAAATAGTGGCTACCTGAAGGTAAGAGAAGAAGTCAGTGGAAAATCTGCTACTACAAAGCACAGATTCTCTTAATTATGAACTTGGTGCACTTTGATTTTCTTTAAGTTATTTACGTACCTATCCCTGATGTTTATTGCACCATGCTACAAATGTCACTAGAGGATTATGAAAACTTTGAACTAATAATATAGCATAATTTTCTAAGGCTTATAATATACACATAGTACAATCTTACTATATTGCACATAGTTTCAAATCAACAACTGTAAAACTTATACATTATATTATGTCAATCATAATGTCTAGTTAATCTTTTTCTTATTATAATTGTGAATGCACAAAAGAACTTCTATCCATTATTCCAATAATTAAATGAATGAACGTAGTAAGATAACTGCACACCAGTCATTAATTTACAAATGGGTTTATTGCACGAAATCCCCCTGTATTATATGAAATCTGCGCGTTTTCCCCTGGTATTTTAAAAATTGCGTCAAACCCCCTCGTATTTCATATTTGCATGCACACTCGCTATTTCCAGCTAACGCCGTTACTTTAAAGCTGACGGCGTTACTTTTTCATTGAATTTACGTTTATACCCTTACTTTAACATTGAATTTACTATTTTACCCTTAATGTTAATATATTGACCTAAAAGAAAAATGCCAATGGTGGGGATTGAACCCACCACCTTTAGGTTGTAAAAGACAACTCTTACCAATTGGGCTACTATTCACTTAGTAATATATGTAATTTTACCTATATATATCACAATATAGCGGAAATATCATATAATTAAGTATATAGATTCTAAATTATAAATATCATAATAATTAATTATATAGATTCTAAATTATGAATAATATAATAATTAATTATATAGATTCTATATAATGTAATAATTAAGTATATAGACTCTAAGTTATAAATAATATAACCATTAAGTATATAGATTATAAATTATAAATAATACAATAATTAAGTAAATATTTTCTAATTTATAAATAATATAATAATTAAATAAATATATTCTAAATTAAAATAATATAATAATTCGTTATATATATAAATAATACAACGATGAAATAAATATATTTTAAATTATAAATAATATAATGATCGAATAAATAGATTATAAATTCAAAATAAAATAATTATTAAATAAATATAAATATATAATAAGTAATATATTGATTCAGTAAATATAATATAAAATATAAATGATATAATAATTAATAAAATATATTATAAATTCTAAATAATATAATAAGTAAATGAATAAATTTCAAAATAATGAATAAATAGATTCTAAAGTATAAATAATATAATAATTGAATAAATTATATTCTAAAGTATAATGATAATTATAAATCATAAATAATATAGTAATTCAGTATATAGATTTTATGATAATTGAATGAATAGATTCTAAAATAGAAATAATATAAATAATTAACTAAGTATGTTCTAAATTATAAATAATATAATGATAATTATAACTTATGAGTAATATAACAATGCACTATATATTTTTTTATAATAATTGAGTAAATAGATTCTAAATTATAAATAATATATTCTAATGTATTTACTCAATTATTATAAAACAAATTATTGAATTAATATATTACTTATAGTTTATAATTATAATTATATCTCATAAAAAAGGATACTTGATATTTTAATTAATAGTGTTTTACATAATGAATAGTATTTTTTATTTATTATACATTTACCTGAATTTAAAATAAACATAATGAATAAATAATAAGTACTTAAATTATTTATTACAAATTCAAAAATAATAATTTTATTGAAAAAATTAAATATATATATTTGTCGAACATTTAAAAATAATAATACAATATAACAACTAAATAAAAAAAATAAATACAAATCATATGTAGCTATTGCATAGAAAATATTTTATTTACAAATTACTACTTTCATAATATATTATATATAGAAGTATAATTTTATTTTATTATAAATAAATTTAATTTAATTTTATTTTATTTTATTTATTTTTATTATATTAATTCAATATAAAAATGTATATTTAAATTTAATTTTATAATTTATTTCATATTTATATTTTTTAATTTTTTATATGAATTTATCTTTTTGTTTTTATATTAAATAGTAGTATAATTATATATTATTTTCAAATTTTACATTAAATTTTATTCAATTTAATTTTTATTTTATTTTATTTTTATTATATTTTCTTATATTACATTATTTAGTGTTTATTTTATTTTTTAATTTTTGTTTGATTAAGTTTTCCACTGTTCGTGTTGTTTAAATGAATCTGTGTTAAATATGTATCATTGAATGATGGTGGCCAAGTGGTTTGAAGTCTTGTCTATTAATGTTTTGGCCCAGGTTCGAATCCTAGGAGCAGCAAAACATTTTGTCCATCAATAGGTAGAAAAACAAGGGGTAAAATAGTAAATTTTAATTTTAAAATAAAAAATAAATAATTATCACAGTACATGTATGTGTGTTACACGCGCCGTCAAGTTGGACGGAGAGGGGGGTATCGTGCAACAGTTACTTAATACAAGGGGGTTTGACGCAATTTTTAAAATACCAGGAGAAAACGCGCACATTTCATATAATACAGGGAGAGGGGGGTATCGTGCAACAGTTACTTAATACAAGGGGGTTTGACGCAATTTTTAAAATACCAGGAGAAAACGCGCACATTTCATATAATACAGGGAGATTTCGTGCAATAAACCCATTTACAAATCTTAGAGAAGCAATAGGTGAAAACTATATGAATGTGCATTTAGAAGACTCATTTAGGCTTTTGCATTACTACTCTCAAACAACCACATCACAATGCAGGTTAATTTATTGTACTGTTTGACAGAAAATGAATTCATATATCTTTAACAATATATTTTTCAAAAGAGATAAGGAATAGTTGGAATCGGATTATGAAAGTTTTTGTCACTGCGTGTGTGAGGTGAATGAAAAGATAATTGATTGTAGGGGTCTTAGTAGTTGAAGGAATTTGTTGAGCTTTTGTGAACTTAGTAAAGTTTAAATTCCACGTCTTAAAGTGGATTCCAACAAACATGGCCAACTTTGATGTTGGGTGCAATCATAGTCAGGAATATTGTGTTTGGTTAAATGAGAATTACTTTTCAATTTAGAGATGTTAACAACTCCATTAAGAAATATCAATTAATAGTGGTATACTTAAAATTAGTACCATGTAATTTACCAATTCGAAATATTTAAAATTAGTACCACACTCACTTGCTACACGGATACTTAAAAATATTAATAGTGGTACAAAAAGGAGTACAATAATTCATAGTTTTGTTATGAAGAAATAATAATAATAAATAGTAAATAACAAAGTTATATTTATTAAAAAATTCACACATTTCACTAAGTTTGTCAAAAATGATAATTTTTAATTATATTTATAAAATTATATATTTCTAAATAAATTTTATTTACAACTCCATAAATTTAATTTTTTTTTCTCAAATCAATTTTTATTGTGTTGTGATTATAACTTATATTAATAGATTCAATGTCTCTCGATTCTTAATTTTTAAGTACTTTATATTCATATATTTGATAATTTAGAATATAAATAGATATAGGTTTAATATTTCTAACTTTATGAAATATAAAAAATATTTTTTGTTTTTAATTATGATATTCCTTTATATATATTATTTGAAACAGATAATAACATTCAATTCTTTATATTCTTTAGTAATACTTTAGATTGTCTTTTGATATTAATATTATGTAATCCTTAACTTTCACATTTTCCCCAAAATTAAGGAAAAAATACATTAAGATGATTGTTTCATGGTATATTGATGGATTGGATTTATATTATGTTGTAAAATAATTTATAATGTTATTTGATATTTTTCAATTTAGTTTGATAGATAAATTTAGTGTTATTTATGAAGATAGATTAAATTATCTTTTATTTTATATATACAATACAAATGCCAGATCGAAAATTATTAAAAGATGATTAATTTCATATATTATTTATAAAGAACAAAATACAAATTTAAAAGTTGGAAACTTTTTAAAATACGAAATATACATATTTATAGTAATTAATATATGATCTAAATAAGAAAAGAAAAATAGTTAAAAGCAAATGTAAAATAGTTTGAGGTAATTCTCAAAGAAAAGTAAAATAGTTTTTTATAGGTGTTTTTGTTCCCTTAAAAGTTAATGTTTATCCAAATTAGTTATAAAGCATGAAATATTGTCACATAAGATTCCTTTGCTGAGCATTTTATATATATATTCAGCCGAAAGTAGGTTAGATTGGATATCAGGTGCAAAGTTAATGAATAAATTAACATAGGGATTAAACTATATGCCACTTCCATTGGCACCAATTTAATTTGCATGTACAGATATTCTTGCTTGTGCATGTTATTTCTGAGTCTCATCAAACTGTTAAGGAAAAAAAAAAATCAAATGAAGAAAATATTGCCATAGCAAATGATCGGTCCCCTCCACGAACAATTGGGAAATTGAACGAATTACAAAGGCAAAGGGCTTCGGCTTTGAGTGCCGATGGTTGTCTCCAATGGTGGAGAACATGATGAAGAAGACAAAGTTGAACTAGTCGAAGTCGAATTGGATAACCTGTTAGACGAGCTGCCTGTCAGCCTTTTCTTCTCCCCTTCTTTCTCCTCAATTTTGTGGTGCCCAACTTTTGTTGAGTTCAAGCTGACAGGGATTATGCAGTGGCACAGTGAACCTGAAATGAAAAACAAATTATCCTTCAAAAGTTCACACAACACAAA